TGATCAATAATGGGCTGAATAAATCTAAAAAATCATCACATATGAGTGTAACTTGTGCCCCTCAAGAGTCTCAGAAACCGTGACATATCCGGCACTATATGCCTCCAGAGCCTCAGAAATCGTGACATATCTGGCACTATATGCCTCCAGAGCCCCAGAAACCGTGACATATCCGGCACTATATGCCTCCAGAGCCTCAGAAACCGTGACATATCCGGCACTATATGCCTCCAGAGCCTCAGAAACCGTGACATATCCGGCACTATATGCCTCCAGAGTCTCAGAAACCGTGACATATCCGGCACTATATGCCTCCAGAGCCTCAGAAACCGTGACATATCCGGCACTATATGCCTCCAGAGCCTCAGAAACCGTGACATTTCTGACACCATATACCCCCAGAGCCCCAGAAACCGTGACATATCCGGCACTATATGCCTCCAGAGCCTCAGAAACCGTGACCATCGAGATTCAACAGAAAGTAAAGGGACTTCCTATGACCGAGAGAGACCGTAGCAGAAAACGATGTATCAAATGCACTTAAAAGCCATTGGCTAGTAACACTTTGTATACATTTCTCCGTTTTCCTGGTTAGTGAATGTTATTTTCTGATTGTCTATGCCTGTAAAGTATAGAACATGGCTATTATACCCATCAGACTTTGCTCTGATCTTTGGCTGAGATAGAGTACAGCAGACGTCCTGATGGTACCTGATGGCTGCTGAGTAATGAAAACAACGTGTCTGTTCTAGATAAGGAATCGTCTGCTTTTAAGAACCTTCAAAATGTTTAATTACATCAGCTGTCTTAAAGTCAAAGCAAAGTTTGGAGGGAATAATTGTCTCTTTCGGCTCTTGGGAGCCGGTCGGCCGAGCGAACAGCACGCTGGACTTGTGATCCTGTGGTCCTGGGTTCGATCCCAGGCGCCGGCGAGAAACAATGGGCAAAGTTTCTTTCACCCTATGCCCCCTGTTACCTAGCAGTAAAATAGGTACCTGGGTGTTAATCAGCTGTCACGGGCTGCTTCCTGGAGGTGGAAGCTTGGTCGAGGACCGGGCTGCGGGGACACTAAAGCCCCGAAATCATCTCAAGATAACCTCAAGAAGAATCTCAAGATAACCTTCTATACTCTGCAGGCATAAGTAATCGGAAAGTAACACTTACTACATTTTAACAATATTTAAGTAACATTATGTAATCAATGGTAAGGAGCTTCTAAACCTAAAATATACAGTATATAATTAAAGCTGTTGCATGTTACGTAGTTATTATGACTTTCTCTTACGTAAATAACTTACAGTAAATCTGTGTTAACTAAACCAACTATAGATGTAAACATATTTATGAATAAAACATTTGAAACTTTCTTTGAAGATTGATATTGTAAGCAAACTGAATTCTTCGTCTAGCCAAATTTGTAAAATTGTGTTGAGAGCGAAATCAATTATATTTAGGTATGTTAAAATATACTAAGTGGTTTTCCCGTTATATACTGCCCACACCTGGCACCACCCCTACACATCAGTCCATACCTGGCACCACCCCTACACATCAGTCCACACCTGGCACCACCCCCACACATCAGTCCACACCTGGCACCACCCCCCCCACACATCAGTCCACGTTTGGCACCACCCCCACACATCAGTCCACACCTGACACCACCCCTACACATCATCCCACACCTGGTACCACCCCCACACATCAGCCCACACCTGGTACCACCCCCACACATCAGCCCACACCTGGTACCACCCCCACACATCAGCTCACACCTGGCACCACCCCCACACCTCCCCACACCTGGTACCACCCCCACACATCAGCCCACACCTGGCACCACCCCCACACATCAGCCCACACCTGGTACCACCCCCACACATCATCCCACACCTGGCACCACCCCCACACATCAGTCCACACCTGGCACCACCCCACACATCAGTCCACACCTGGCACCACCCCCACACATCAGTCCACACCTGGCATCACCCCGACACATCAGTCCACACCTGGTACCACCCCCACACATCAGCCCACGTCTGGCACCACCCCCAATCATCAGCCCACGCCTGATACCACCCCTACACATCAGCTCACACCTGGCACCACCCCCACACCTCCCCACACCTGGCACCACCCCCACACCTTCCCACACCTACATCCACCACAAGCTGAGGACACCACATAATAAATAATTTAATAAGTAGTTTTACATATTAAATGTCATTCATTAAAAAGTGAACATACGGAGGAAGAAGAATTCAAATTAAAAATTAAATATATTAGAGATAAAAACTGCAAGTTTTTCCATTCGAAAAAGTATAAAGGCATTCAATAGATTAAATAAATAGAAACCCCGTGTTGGCAAGAGCCACAGGTGACTTATTACATGACTGACAATCAATTTATTAATTGTAAATTATTAATTATTAATTAATGACATGTAATTACATGTATGACAATTTGTTTTCTATGTCGTTAGCATTATTGTCTCAAAGTTAAACCATTCTATCGAGTTAGAATATTACGTTTGAGTATTTAGAACATTAAGTTGGAGCATTAAGTTAGAGTGTTAAGTTAGAGTATTAGATTAAAGCCTTATAATACCCCTCACACAACTTACGTAACTTTCTACGTTGTGTTTCTTCCGGGGATCAATGGCCACGCGGCTCGGTCTCCGTTCATCCAATCCATCACCCTTATCCCAGCTTTATTTTCATTCACACTTCTCTTCTCATCCTCTCACTTCCCTTCCTCCTCCTCCTGGCATTCCGACCTGCCCGATTGAAGGGGTCGCAGCTCTCAGGCGGCCGCATGCGGCAGTAAGACACAGGCTCGAATAATCTGGTTGATCCACCTGGCAATGTAGCGGGTGTCGGAACATTTAGGATAGCACCCGTCACCGCTCCATCCTCTTCTTTCCACACACACCCTTCTCCCTTTTCCCCCTTTCTCCCTTTTCCCCCTTTCTCCCTTTTCCTCCCTTCCTTTTTCCCCTCAGAACATTCCTCCCCTCACACTGCCTCTCAAGCCTCTTCTCTTGCTACTCCCTTACCCACACCCATTCGAACATACCCATTATGTCCAGGAACATACCCATTATGTCCTGGAACATACCCATTATGTCCTGGAACATACCCATTATGTCCTGGAACATACCCATTATGTCCTGGAACATACCCATTATGTCCTGGAACATACCCATTATGTCCTGGAACATACCCATTATGTCCTGGATCATACCCATTATGTCCTGGAACATACCCATTATGTCCTGGAACATACCCATTATGTCCTGGAACATACCCATTATGTCCTGGAACATACCCATTATGTCCTGGAACATACCCATTATGTCCTGGAACATACCCATTATGTCCTGGAACATACCCATTCATCACTCACACACCTTTGCATCTTCACCCTCTTACTCCAGACGACTTCAAACACCTTTTTTAATAGGCTTAAAGCTGTAAAAAAACTGAACAACCCTTTAGGACGAGCGACTCCACTTGTGTCTCTGAAATTATTTCATAAACCCACAATACATAATCAAATTAATATATATTTTTAAGAAAATATATTATGTTGTTTTGATAGAAAGTAGGAAATTATTCGCATTCGAATAATCTTGTATAATGAGAGAATTACCCAACAACCGCATATTAGCGAGAGCCGGTCGGCCAAGCGGACAGCACGCTGGACTTGTGATCCTGTGGTCCTGGGTTCGATCCTAGGCGCCGGCGAGAAACAACGGGCAGAGTTTCTTTCACTCTATGCCCCTGTTACCTAGCAGTAAAATAGGTACCTGGGTGTTAGTCAGCTGTCACGGGCTGCTTCCTGGGGGTGGAGGCCTGGTCGAGGACCGGGCCGCGGGGACACTAAAGCCCCGAAATCATCTCAAGATAACCTCAAGATAGCTCTCAATCACTCGGTGGTCGCTGTCTCGTTACTCTAACCATCAACATGATTGTAGGAAAATACGACTTGAGAACGTGGGTTCTGTACTGGGCCCCCTAATTGTGTGTACGAAACCTTGTGTGGCTTCGTATACACAACACCTCGATCTCGGATCTTCACCGGATTTCGATTCGGATCGAGATCCGGATGGTAGGACCTCGATCCGGAATTATGCCTTGATAACCTTCCTAGGATTTAGCCAACAACTGGCTCCCGGGGGGATAATTTTGTTTGTTAGGTGGATAGATATCATCATTGGAAAAGGAAATGTGTCCAACAGTTTTGAGGATCGAACGTGGGTTCCCCAGTTGTCAGACGAGGCCATAGACCACTGTGCAGCAGTCCACAGGATCGAATAAAACAGCTAGTTTTCAATATTTTTCATTGTTAGAGAATTACTGTCACAATGAGATGATTTGTTGACCAGCAATTTTAAGTCCTACTAAAAGCAGATCCCTGATATATGAGTTGGGTCAAAGTACAGCTGAAAATACACACACACACACGAGCGCGCGCATACACACACACACACACACACACACACACACACACACACACACACACACACACACACACACACACACACACACACACACAAGGAACTTTTTCAGTGTCAGAGTAGTTAACGGATGGAATGCATTATGCAGTGATGTGGTGGAGGCTGACTCCATACACAGTTTCAAATGTAGATATGATAGAGCCCAGTAGGCTCAGGAACCTGTACACCAGTTGATTGACAGTTGAGAGGCGGGACCAAAGAACCAAAGCTCAACCCCCGCAAGCATAACTAGGTGAGTACACGCACACACACACACAAACAACATGCAGCCCATGACAGCTGTCTAACTCCCAGGTACCTATTTACTCCTACGTGAACCGAAACATCACGAGAGATAAACTGCCCCATTTGTTTCTCTTGGCCAGAAATCAAACCCAGATCTCTAGAGTGCGAATCAAGAACGCTGTCCGCTCAGCCGCGAGACCCCTTATGCATGTGTTTTCTTTGTGCATGTGTGTATGTGTATATGTGTGTATGAATGCGCCAAACAACACATCCAAAGAACAACACTGGTTTTATAAGGAAGAAAATCCGTCTCAGTGAAAAGAGTGACAGGGAAGGAATGAAGCAAATTGTATTAGAAGAGGACAATGGCAATTGTGAGGCCACTAACAAGGTTCTGAGCCCGTGTATCGGGTCTTGTTAGTGATGAAAAACAGGATTTCACGAAACAAGGCACGTAGGTAAGATTGAAGAAAGGAGTTGGGACTATTGTGATAATAAGGAGTGTGTGAAGAGGGAAGAGGAAAAGAAGACGTGAGAAAGAAACATGCGGAGAGAGAGAGAGAGAGAGAGAGAGAGAGAGAGAGAGAGAGAGAGAGAGAGAGAGAGAGAGAGAGAGAGAGAGAGAGAGAGAGAGAGACTATACAGACATTGATTATGCTTAACAAAAAATCTAAATTGGTCAACAAAAAAGTTCATAATCGCTTCCAAAAAAGTAGAACATCACACAAAAAATCAAACAAAAAATCCAAAAGGCCAAAGAAAATTACCCAACAGAAAATCCAAAATGCTAATAAAAATCCAAATATTCTCCCATAATCCAAAATACATAAGAAAAAGTCCATAACACACACAAAAGAATCCAAACTGCCCAATAAAATATCCAAAATACATAACAAATAAATCCAAAAACGGCCAACAAAATTGTTCCACAAAAAATACAAAATGCGTAATAGTAAAAGGCTCAAAAAAGAAATCCAAAATCCCCCCCAAATCCAAAATACCCAATTAAAAACAACTCAGAATTTCCTACAAATGATCCAACACCCTCCACCTCGATTTTTTTTTTATTTTTAAACGACCTAGCTGACCTAACCTAGCTAAACCAAACGTAACCTAACCTAACCAACATTAACCTAACATAAATTAACCTAACTTAACCAACCCTAACCTTATTTAATCTAACCTAACCAAACCATCCATAATCTAACCTAACTTAACCTAAAGTAGCCAAAGCTAACATAAACTAAGCAAGAGTTTACACGGAATTATAATGTTTAGTTATATTCATTTATGTTAGATAAAGATCCTTTTTTTTGAATAATCAAAACCAGAACATAGTTCTGAGCCGACCATGCAGCCCATGAGTATGACGAAATAATCCAAGAAGAAAAGACTAACTCTTTAACCCTTCACCTTTTTCTCTCTCTCTTCTATTTTCTGTACTTGGTTCCCTTCTGCTGCTCGTCTCTCTTTAGTCATGTTCTAAATCCTCCCTTTCTCCTTCCTTCCTTGCCTTTAGGTAATAAAATAAATCGCTTTCTTTAAGTAAAGGACGTGTGCTATCGCTCTCACCTCAGCCTCTAAGTCCCCAGTTCCTAAAATAACCAGATTTACGAAGGTTATCACCTGGGAGCGCCATCATCAATTAGCATGCTGTTTTAGAAGAGCCACAAATAGCATTACCATTTTTTTTAGATTTTTATGGAAATGGTTTCAGCACGTACCAGGCGACTGCAAGGCAATGAGGCTTAGAATAGGAGAAAGCAAACCTCAGATTCAAGAGAATGAAAGGGAAAGGAAACTTCCCACTTCTGAAAAAATAGAAAGACGTGGAGGTTGACATAACACCAGATCCAACACCAGAATGAGATATCAGAATAACGTCAGCAGCATACGCCAAACTGGCCAGTGAGTGTGGATAACCTTCCGCAACTTTAACAAATAACCCAGCGGGAAGCATTATACATCCTAGGCGAGATGAATTCTTGATTATGCTTCCCTGATATGGAAACTACCTAGAGAAGCCTCCGGCCCACCACCACCACCAAAAAAAGTCCAAAAATATGCATTTCATATATATAAGTCCACAAATCTCTCTTCTTTAAAGAAGAGAAAGTCTTAAAATACTAGTAGATTCCAATGAGAAATGGAATCTAATAGTATGTAGGAGGCCAAGCCCGGTTTCTGACCAGGCTCGGTCTCTGACCAGGCCCAGTTTCTGACCAGGCCCGGTTTCTGACCAGGTCCGGTTTCTGACCAGGCCTGACCCCCACTGTGTTAGGAACATATAAACAATAAACACAGACGTCTAAAAACACTGCATGGGGCAATAGACAGCTTGAAATGGGAAAACAAGGAGCTGAAGCTCGACCCGGAAAACACCTCTAAGTGAGTACATCCAGCTGAACACACGAACCAACACAACACATATATATTTATACTTACGTATCCATTACACTACAAAAATGGCCTCGTAGCTTCCACAATAATTGCTTCTAAATTTAAATCTCCGAATTCCCATTTAAAGTTTTTAATAGGAAATAATACCCTGGCTAAATTATTACTTAATTGCTATTACTGTTTGTACACACCAACAGGGAGACCATTTGTGGTAAACTGGGCCGGTTAAAACATATGTCTCAATTACGACCAATTACAATTAAATTTGAATTATTATTTTTAGTCTAATATGAAACTGTACTAAAACTTACATTTAAGTGACAATGATGGTGTGTATGTGGAAAAATTTGGATTAAATTTGAGCTTATAAACTCTGATAGTTATGCAAGATATGTAACTATAGGGAAAACTACATATAAATATGTAAGTGAAGAAATTTTGTATTATATTAAAGTTTACATAAAAAAAATGCAGTTTAGTCACTTGAATGTAACACTTGAGTTACTTTAGTGTCACAAGTGCCTGTTTATTGATTCAGTTTAGTAATGTTAAATGAAACAGAGCTAAATGAAACTTCAACACATCAACATCACATATTACTGGTGTATGTTGGTACATACAGAAGTAACTTGTGTATACGCTCTCATACTACGTTGAAAACTTCGTGTTCGAAATCCGAACACTTTGCAAACATAACGGAACCAATCTCCCGTCTGTTGCGTTACAGGCTTCAACTTTCCAACACGCAATATTCCTATATAAAGCCGCTCGACCTATAAATAAGATAAGCAAAACTTAGCATCCATTACCGTGCAAATTCCCACTTTAGCCGCCTCCTGGAGTAGAGATATATTGAGGAGCATCAGAGAGTAGAGATGCTTCGAACAGCATGAGAAGCCTGTGTTACTTTCTAGAAATGATGCCTCTTAAACTTAGAAGTCTATAATAATAATTAAAATATATCGAGGACAGATAATATAAAAATTATGACATCAAATATAATATCAAAATGTTGACGTCGTCTAGACGTCCCCCTTCCCATCCTCAGGAAAATGTACATATGTAGATCCAGTAAATGAACTCCTCTCAGCCAGACACACAATGCCACCGATGTGTACCGGGCCATTATCCTCCCCCCACATGTGATGATTCCGTGAAACTGCTCAGGATCAGGTTTTGTGGGGCCTCGTTATGACTGGTGTGAGGTTTTTACTGGCCCCGTGCGGTGGCTGGCCGCGAGCAGTATATCTCCCCAGACGACTTCCGGAGCGCTGGCTCCCTCCAGAGATATCTTGGCTTTATAGACGGATTATTCCTGGTGGAGCGTCACGCAAGGGGGACCCCGCCACCAGTCCCCTCGTCTGGTTCCAGTCCTCCTCTCCCCCCTCTCTACCCCTTTATCAGCAGGTGGAAAGCGATTCAAACCCTTACCCACAGCCCCTAAACCTGCCCGAGTGAGTGATAACGCGCCGGTAATTAAGTTTGTTTGATGTGTGGTCTCTCTTCACGGTAGTTATGATCCAGTGTGGCGCGGGTTCGAGGCCAGGCAAGTCTGTGGCTTCACTCAGAGAGAAAGGAATCTGCTCCTTCACACGGAAAGAATGGCAAGGAATGTTTTCCCATATAAATAAAACAAATAAATCACAATTCAATTGTTTTTTGTTACTCAGACACGTAGACAGAGAGGCAAATTCAATATGTTTCAATTGGCCTTTCCTTGATGTATTTGTTAAACAGACGTTGTTATATATCAAAAGGTATGGTGAAGTCTTATTAAACCTGTAAATAGACATAAATTACAGTAGTGTTGACATATACTGAAGCACGTGCCAACCACGAGAAGAGGGGAGAGTAGAGAGAGAGAGAGAGAGAGAGAGAGAGAGAGAGAGAGAGAGAGAGAGAGAGAGAGAGAGAGAGAGAGAGAGAGAGAGAGAGAGAGAGAGAGAGAGAGAGAGAGTGAGAGAGAGAGAGAGAGAGAGAAGGGAAGCGCGGGCCATGTTCCGCTGATTAATCTCCAAGATTCCATAGTTTTATGTTTTTCTTACGTTACTGTGTCTATTCGGTCCCAAACTTGGGCTAATTGGTTCTTATTGTTTCGCTCAGCTTTCGTTAACCTTTGCGTAATATATATATATATATATATATATATATATATATATATATATATATATATATATATATATATATATATATATATATATATATATATCTTTCATTAGACTTGCAGATCGTTTATGTCCATTTTCGATATCAAACAATTATATGCAATTCATAATTATGTTGTTTCAATTTTTATGCCAATTAAGCATTTAATTATGTCATTCTAAAAAAAAACTTTATTTGCTCTTAATTAAACATTTTCATTTATCTTTCGCCATTAGCTCTAAATCAATTCTTTCGCACCTCTGTGATATTTAATTCCGCGTTTTATTTTTAAATAAAGTTTCTTACGGAATTTATTTATAAAGACAGAACGAAAAAAAGATATCCTAAAGTGTTTTTGTCGATAATTAACTTCTAAGATAGCTCACAGGGACGATTAATATTGGTCGTGCTCATCAAGACCTCACAGGGTCTACCAATGATGGTAGTGCTCATCAAGACCTCACAGAGACCACCAATGATGGTAGTGCTCATCAAGACCTCACAGAGACCACCAATGATGGTAGTGCTCATCAAGACCTCACAGAGACCAGCAATGATGGTAGTGCTCATCAAGACCTCACAGAGACCAGCAATGATGGTAGTGCTCATCAAGACCTCACAGAGACCACCAATGATGGTAGTGCTCATCAAGACCTCACAGAGACCAGCAATGATGGTAGTGCTCATCAAGACCTCACAGAGACCAGCAATGATGGTAGTGCTCATCAAGACCTCACAGAGACCACCAATGATGGTAGTGCTCATCAAGACCTCACAGAGACCACCAATGATGGTAGTGCTCATCAAGACCTCACAGAGACCACCAATGATGGTAGTGCTCATCAAGACCTCATAGAGACCACCAATGATGGTAGTCCTCATCAAGACCTCACAGAGACCACCAATGATGGTAGTCCTCATCAAGACCTCACAGAGACCACCAGTGATGGTAGTCCTCATCAAGACCTCACAGAGACCACCAATGATGGTAGTCCTCATCAAGACCTCACAGAGACCACCAATGATGGTAGTCCTCATCAAGACCTCACAGAGACCACCAATGATGGTAGTCCTCATCAAGACCTCACAGAGACCACCAATGATGGTAGTCCTCATCAAGACCTCACAGAGACCACCAATGATGGTAGTCCTCATCAAGACCTCACAGAGACCACCAATGATGGTAGTCCTCATCAAAACCTCACAGATACCAACTACATCGAGGGGACACAACATTCCACAACTCCCACTAAGAAGGGATTATGTACTCCCCTTCTTATAATCCCTTTCCTTTCCCTCATCTTCCTCGTTATCTCTATTTTCTCTCTCTCCCTCATTCTGTTTTCAAACCCTTCTTTTTCTCCCAAAATTTCCCATTTTTACTTCTCTCCCATTAACATTATTCTTCTCTCTCCCCCCTATTCTACCCTTCCCCCATATATTCCGTCTTCCAAGTCCATAAATCCCCCTCCATTCCCAAATCGTTTTCTGGGATTAATCACCAGATTACCAGAAGCTGCGTGTCGCCCGTAGGACTTGAATCACGGCCGACTTCGACTGTCCTCAATTATTCCTTTGATTTATTTCGTATTATTTTGTATTATTTCTTATTTTTTTTGGTTTATTATGTATTTTTGAGGGATTTCTTTGGTTATATCTTTATTCATCTTGTTCCATATTGCTTTGGTTGGTTGAATATTGGTTCATTGCAATATATGAAGCTTGATTAATTGACACTTTAGGATATTTGAAGCAAGATTCGTATTTTTTATGCATGAAGCGAGATACAGGCTTTTGTAACAGACTTGAAACAGATTCAAGACTTTTTTTTTCAAAATAAGAAACAATGTTAGTACTTTTGTAGTACAACAATTAAATTGGTACGATTGTAGTTTACATAGAATGATATTAATGCTTCAGTAATCCATGAAGCAAATAAGTATATTTGTAACAGATGATGAGAGGTAATGGATTTTGTAACTGATAAAGTTTATTACATTTGAATTACTTTGTAATATTATCTGCATATTTAGTAAGTATTATTAAATATTAATATTTGTGTATGTTCAATAATGTTTATTAGCCTGTAATAGCTATTGTAATAGCTCTGTAACACATAGACATGAGTCTGAAATTTGCATATTGTTATTGTAATTATTATTAATATTATTATTATTATTATTTTGAGACATGGCGTAGTACAAATTAGTCACTACTCTATCATCTTAGATCAATTTCAGAGGTCAAGATAAGATGTCAAACGCAAAATTTTAAATCAGAGGTCAAATTCTTTGAACCAGATCAGAGTTCAGATTCTGAAAACAAGATCAGAGGTCAAGCTTCAGATAACCAGGTCAGTGGTCAATGTTATAGTCAATGTCAGAGTCCAGCGTCAGGGTGAAGGGTCAAGGGTCAAGGTCACCACCAAAACTAGAAATATACTGTTGTATTCCGGACCGCGGTTCGAGCATAGAGCGACACAGAAACATGCGGATTGAATCAAGATCTTCCTTATTGAATCTTGGCACGAACTACCTCGCCAGGTGATTGGTCCGGAGGCGACCACCTTGTGTCCATGGTCTTGGTCTCGCATTGGCCTTTTTTCTCTTCTTTCTCTACCTATTTTTTTTCATATTTTTCTTTCTCATTTCTCTCCTCTTGTTCTACCTATCTTATATCTCTCTCTCTTGTTGTTTCTCTGTCTCTTTCTTTTATGTATGTCTTTTTCTCTTCTTTATGAGAAGAGCAAAATCTTTTACACTGTTTCTCACATTATCCGCAATAAACATGGATTCACAATCTGGAATCCAGTGAGGTTCGAATCCCTGGGCGGGATAGAAATGGCTAGATACGTTTCTTATCACCTTATGCCTCTGTTAAACTTGTTGTAAACAGGTATCGGGAGTCAGTCAACTGGTTTCGGGTTTGCATCCTGGGGGGGGGGGTAGGGGGGTATGGTGAGAGGCAGTAGTTCGACTTTGGAGAGGATATAACCTCGATATAAGCCTAACGTATACATATACACAGGCTTTCCGTCCCCAAGAAAACGCATTTATATTTTTATTATTATTATTAACCCTTTGTTTCTTATTTGCTTTTCTGTTTTCAATATGAATATTTGATATATTGAAGATACGCTATATTCATATACGATACGCTATAGGAGCTATACAGAGCAGCTTGCTTTTCAATTCTTGATTTTATAATGTAAGAATGCAAAAGGCATGGAGCTATAATTTGCAATTGCGAAAACAATGAACAGGTGGAAATATTCTCTTACTCCTTATTTGCATTACCAAAACCATCCTGACATCGAATGCTTGCTCTCTGTTATATATTTTATTTGCACATGTCGACTTGTCAGGTCCAGTGATTACATGGTTTCTCGTGGACTTGTGCTTTCATGTATGTGCCTGTCATTTAAGTACATATCGTGTATGTGTCTGTCATGTAAGTACATATCTTGTATGTGTCTGTCATGTAAGTACATATCGTGTATGTGTCTGTCATGTAAGTACATATCATGTATGTGTCTGTCATGTAAGTACATATCGTGTATGTGTCTGTCATGTAAGTACATATCGTGTATGTGTCTGTCATGTAAGTACATATCGTGTATGTGTCTGTCATGTAAGTACATATCGTGTATGTGTCTGTCATGTAAGTACATATCGTGTATGTGTCTGTCATGTAAGTACATATCGTGTATGTGTCTGTCATGTAAGTACATATCATGTATGTGTCTGTCATGTAAGTACATATCGTGTATGTGTCTCTCATGTAAGTACATATCGTGTATGTGTCTGTCATGTAAGTACATATCGTGTATGTGTCTGTCATGTAAGTATATATCATGTATGTCCCTGTCAAATGCATGCCTGTCATTCTGTCATAAAATTAGCCAAAAGTCATTATAATGACCCAGAGTTAATCCCTGCATAATGTACATGAAATTATAGTTTACGTTAATTACTAAGCTTCAAGAAAAACAATTAATAATGCAAATTAATGAAGCCTCCGAGTCTGGCTTACTACGCCTCTGTTTAGATACAAAACTTTGGAGGTAATTTGAAAGCTAAATTCATACGAGACATCTCTGTACAAAGGGGAAAGATTCGGCGACTATCTGCGACTTTATCATTTGAATCTTATTTAAAGGATAGTCCAAGACGTATTTGTTGAATATATTGATCTTCGTCTTTCTCTGGAATCCCGTACCATCACCAGCCTCCACGAACCCTACATAACCAGCCGGAAGGCGATCAATGTTGCTTGGAATTCTAATATGTCATCCAATGTAACCCTCATCCTTCACTCCCTGGAACCCCCTGGAACCCCTTATCTCTCACCCCTCCTGGAATCTATCCCCCTTCACCCGTCTAAAATTCTATTCTCTCTCTCTCTCTCTCTCTCTCTCTCTCTCTCTCTCTCTCTCTCTCTCTCTCTCTCTCTCTCTCTCTCTCTCTCTCTCTCTCTCTCTCTCTCTCTCTCTCTAAAATCCTTCTACCCTCACCCACCTGGAACCTTCCTCCTCCTACCTCTTCCTCCCTGAAAAACTTCCATCAAGGATGTAATTTTAAGATTTTAAAATCTCTTTGCCCGGAGATTGGATTTTTCGCTCTCTCTTGGTCCTGGAGACCGACAATTAGATCGAGCGGGTCTAGAAATTAGCAGATGGTGGAGACAATGTGTCGAGGGGATGGGGGGAGTGGGGGGAGAGGGACTCCTTAATGGGGGGAGGATTTTACAATGCGAAAGATTTTTTTAATGGGGATTGTCAATTGCGAAATAGGATTTATTTTCTGAAATGGGAAGTGTCATGTAACTGGTGTTGGGGAAAAGGCGTGGGACGTCTTAGATTGTCTTTCCTCCTTTATCATTCATGTAATCTTTGGTTCCTCTTTTTCTTATCTCTTTGTCCTGAAACCTCTTTCAGTGCCTTCTATTTTCTCTATCCTTCTTTCCCTCAATTTGTTTTCCTTCCCATTTCTTTGCACTTCGTCTTTCGTTCTCGTCTTTCTCAATCTTTTGTCTCCTTCATTTTCCTTTTTTTTCTATTACTTTTTTCTCTCACTATTCTCCTTTCCCTTCGTTCTCCATTTTCTTACCCTCTTTTTCCTTTCTTTATTCTATAATTATTATCCTTTCCCTTTCTTTTTGCTCTAATTATCAGAATTGCCTTCGTCTTTCACTGTTTCATCATTTTAGATTCCACTTCTTCTTTCTTTCTATAATTCTGATGCTTTACTATAATTCTCCAAAGCATTACCTACCTCTCCCTGCATTCCTTCCTTCTCGCATTTACTTCCATCCTTCTTTCTCTCTCGCATTATTTTCTTTTGAGTTTATGCGACTTGTTTTTATTTTTAAACCCTCGTCTCTTCCTATATTCTGAAATATATATAACTAATAATATATAAATATATATAAATAATAATATATATAAACAAATAACTAGAAATAAAACCCACTGACAGCCACTGGAAACCTCGACTGTCAGCCACTGGAAACCTCGACTGTCAGCCACTGGAAACCTCGACTGTCAGCCACTGGAAACCTCGACTGTCAGCCACTGGAAACCTCGACTGTCAGCCACTGGAAACCTCGACTGTCAGCCACTGGAAACCTCGACTGTCAGCCACTGGAAACTTTCTCCTTTACTGGAACCCGCATCATTCCCCTACCTCCTTTTTTTGCCGTTCTTTTGTCCTTAGTGCGACCGTTTTGCAGGGTCGGTGTTCGATTCCCGATGGTCCAAAATGATCAGGGGTATATATTGTCCTAATATTCCTTCGCTTTATCTTCATAACCCAGCTACTTGTTCTCATATATCTTCTAAGTTCTATGGTGTCATACTTTTCACTTTCTCCTATAATAACTGCCATACTGAACCTCGGCCGGATAAAGCAGCCGGATGAGCTGCTGAAGTCTGGCATCTGTGTGCCTCTTCATGGAGGAGAGATGGTTAGAGGAGACCCAGAGGCTGATATGATCTGTGTCACAAGTCTGGGTGGACATTGGTTAAGACTTGATGAGCGGGACTGTCCATCACGACAAAGTTCGTCATTACTGGGAAGGTTATTGGGAAAAGAGAGGAGATATTTGTTCATATTCATGACTGTAAGAGTTTAGTGATGGAATGTACATAAAATATAGGCTGCTGAATCCTCTAAAAATCCACTTTTTTAACTACGGCTTTTGTATAGGATGTGGAAAAAAAAAGGAAACTAAACCAAAATTTTCCTTGGCCAAGTATAATACATA